CTAGCAGTAACCAAACCCGGGACTCTCTGGCCCGCAGGCTGATGCTCAACCACTGAGCCAAACTGGCCAAGGCTATACATTGATTTTAGAGAGACGGGGGAAGGGAGAGGGAGTGAGTGAGAGAGAAACATCAATGTGGGAGTGAAACATCAATGGGTTGCCTCCAGCACATGACCTGACTGGGGATCAAACCCACAGCCTAGGTATGTGCCCTGAGTGAGAATCAAACCGTGACCTTTTAGTGTATAGGACAACACTAGCCAGGACTAGATGTGTATAATTCTTATCTTCATTTTGCAGATGAGGAAACAGAGGTTTGAATTGTCCAAAAAGTAGATTGGGCACATTTGATCATCTTTTCCTAGGTTGTCTCATTTGCCCACAGCCTGCTTTCTTTTAGGCCGGCCAGCTTCTTCCAGAAACGGAGGCTGTGTTTTCGTTTTTTTTTACATTGTTATTATTATTATTATTTGTAATCCTCACCCGAGAATATTTTTAGAGTGGGAGGGAGGGAGAAAAGGAGAAATATCAACGTGAGAGAGACACATTTGACTGGTTGCCTCCCTCATGACCCTGACCAGGGCCAGGGACGAACCACAACCGAGGTACGTGCCCTTGACCGGAATGCAACCCAAGACTCGTTGGTCCGTGGGCTGACACCCTATCCACTGAGCCAAACTGGCCAGGGCTCATTATTATTTTTTTAAAATATGTTTTTATTTACTTTTTATAAAGAGATGGAGAGAGAGATAGAAACATCTATGTGAGAGAGATACATCGATTGGCTGCCTCCTGCACACCCCCCACTGGGGATCGAGCCCGCAACCCAGGCATGTGCCCTGACTGAGAATCAACCTGGGACCTCTTGGACCATGGGATGATGCTCAATCCACTGAGCCACACTGGCAGGGCAGCTGTGCTCATTATTAAACATGTACACCTCACAGCAGAGAGGGGTGAGCGCATGTACCAGCCCACCCATTTCACAGCGGAACTGGGGCCCAGAGAAGAGCTGAGAGTCTTCGAGGGTCACAAGCAAGTCAAGTGGAGGCTCGAATGTCTGGCTTCCTAGTGTGAGCTCTTCCTGTAGCCAGGCACCTCTTTCTGCTATTCTGTCCTGGCCACAGCAGTTTGGCTGTAGTGAGGACACAGCAGAACAGACTCTTTAAGGTAAGGCCAGGTAGGAATAGAAGGATGGAGGGGAAAGAGCCTGGGATTTAGCACCAGACAGTTCAGGTTCCATCTCTGGCCTTATTTGCTGCGAAGCTTTAGACACGTCAGGCAACGTCTCTGAGCCTGTTTTGTCATCTGTAACATGGGAGGGGAAGGGGGGAATAGCCAACCCCAATGAGTATTCATTCTCTCTCTGGCAGCATGAAGCCTTCTTCCTGCCTGGTTTCATTGCCCTCTTGCCTACTACTTGGGGTAGACAATATTGCCACTCAGCTCAGAGGGGAGAAGTCATGTAGCCTTTAGCTACTGACTTGGGCAAGTCCCGTAGTCTCTCTGTGTCTCAGTTTCCCCATGTATAAAAGGGGTACCTACCTCAGTAAGGGTTATGTATAAGAATTAAATGGAGCCCTGGCCTGTTTGGCTCAGCGGTTAGAGCATCAGCCCGAGGACTGAAGGGTCACAGGTTTGATTCCCCATCAAGGGCATGTACCTGGGTTGCAGGTTCGATCCCTGGCCCCAGTCAGGGTCGTGCAGGAGGCAGCCAGTAGTTGTGTCTCTCTCACATTGATGTTTCTCTCTCTCTCTCTCTCCCCCTCCCTCCCTTTCATTCTGAATAAAAGTTAAAGGAAAAATATCCTCAGGTGAGGATTAACGACAACAATAAAAATAGAAAAATAATGAAATGGATAGCCCTGGCCAGTGTGACTTGGTTGGTTGGAGTGTCGTCCTATGCACCCCGAGGTTGCTGTTTTGATTCCTGTCAGGGTACATACCTAGGTCGCGGGTTCTATTTCCAGTCAGGGTGCATATGGGAGGCAGCCAATTGATGTTTCTCTCTCACATCAGTGTTTCTCTCTCTCCCTCCTCCTCTTTCTAAAATCAATAAAACAGCCCTGGCCAGTTTGGCTTAGCGGTTAGAGCATCAGCCTGCAGACCAAAGAATCTTGGGCTTGATTCCGGTCAAGGGCACGTAGCTCAGTTGCGGTTTGGTACCTGGCCCTGGTCAGGGTCGTGAGGGAGGCAACCAATCGATGTCTCTCTCTCTCTCTCTCTACTCCTCCCTCCCACTCTATCTGAAAATAAATGGCAAAATGTCCTGGGGTGAGGATTTTAAAATAAATAAATAATAAAATCAATAAAACATTTTTTAAAAATAATTAAATGGATAAATATATGCAGAGTGCATAGAATGGTATTCATACCATGCTATGTAGATGTTTGCTTTAATTATAATGATGTTGGTCAATGGTCCTCACGGAGTTTTAATGAAGATTAAATCAGATAACAAGAAGGAAGGTCTGTACAAAGGTGCAATTAAATGATACTATTTTGTCAGGATTTCAGGGCACAGAGCCTCACCCAGATTGGGCCTTCGCAGGAGCGACCCGAGAGGGACAACAGCTGGTGGCAGAGTTGCTGGAGGGGCGGCCTAGTCTCCAGCCCTGGGAGGGGCTGTGGGGGCGGCAGGTCTTGGATGCCTGGGCTTCCCCGCTCCTGGCGGCCTGGTCGCCTCCGGAAGGTCACTTCCTCTTTCCGCTCTGACTGTCCCCCGTCTGTGAAATGGGGACAGTGATATTCGCTTCACCTTTCTCATCAGGGCTGAGGTGAGGATCCAGAGGGATTCTCGGTGTCCCGGTGCTGTGAGCTGTAGAGCACGGTCAGCGCCCCGCTCCCGGCAGTTACACCCACAGGTCATCCTGGGTTCTCTGCCTTTGTTCCTGCCTCAAGGCCAGGGACCGGCAGCGAGCGTGCCTCGGGAGGATCTAAGGAACTGGCTCTGGGAACAGGAGAAACAGAGACTAGACTTCGGGAAGTGGAAAGTCAGCCTGGGGAAGGGAAAGAGGCAACGAAGGGGGGTGAGAGGCCTTCCGACCTGGGCCCCGGGCTGCGCTGAGCGCTCGAGAGCAGGGAGGGCACAGGGCTAGCTTTTGGTGCCGGGGAGGGGGGCTGGTGGGTCCTCAGAGATGAGCCAGGCATCCCAGAGTCTCCTGGCCAAAGTCTGTCGGGGTGCTCCCGGGTCAGGTGGAGGCTTGAGAAGCCAGAAGTCCCATGAGAGTACCCAAGCCCTACCAGGTGCCACCCTACTTCTGGGGCAGAGAGGGAGGGGCCTTCCTTTCTCGGTGGATATTTGGGATTGTCTGGAAATTAAATGTAAGTGCAAAACACTTACATTTCTGACGTGGTGTGGGACCCAGCGTCTGTGGGGGAAATTCCTGGAGTTTCGAGGTAGGGCGTGGGCATGAAGCTGGGGTGGCTTTGAAAGTGTCGGACTGGCCTCCTCTGGGCTTGTGGGTTCTTTTCCAGTGCTGTTGCGGCTCTGCTGATTCCGAGTTCACTTGGCTGTCTAGATTGCATCTAGGTCCCATCTGGCTTTGTCTAGGTTCGATCTGAGCTGTCTGGGATCTGTCTGTGCCGAGTCTGGCTCGGTCTGAGCCTGTCTGGTTTCTGCCAGGTCCCGTCTGTGATCTGCTTGGACCCTATTGAGGCTCCACGCGAGCCCTTCTCTTTAGATCCCAGCTGGCTCTACCCCAGGTAGACACTTTTTGGATCCTGTCTTGATTTCATTCAGGCTGTGGTACTTAAATTCTGTCTGAGTTTGGTTACGTTCTTTCTGGAAATCAGGGTGAACTCTGTTTAAATTTCAACTGGGGCTGATTAGGGCTCCAGATGTAATTAAGCTTGAAGGGCTCAGCTTTTGTCCTCAGACTTGTGTCCCAAGCAGAGGTCTTGAGTCAGGAGTTTGGAGCACTGGGGAGCCTTCCCTGCCCCCTCTCCTTTTTCCCAGCTCGAAAAGAGTGTGCAGACCTGAGGCTCTGAGAGGCTGGGAACAGGCTCAAAGGGCCCTCCCGAGTGCCCCTGGGGTGCAGGTGACCAGCTGTGCCCACACGTATCAGCACGCAGCTCTGCTGTGGATCTGTGTGTGGCTGGCTGTCAGCATGTCTGTATCTCTGTGTGTGGGTCTGTCTTTCTGTGTGCCTTGTGTGTCAGCCCTTCTGCCTATGTCACTGGTCTGTCTCTTGGTGGAGGTGTGGGTGGGTAAATTCCTTTGTGTCTCTAAGCCCTGGGGGTGGAGGGCTGAGCAGCTGCAGGTTGCAACTAGGAAATCCAAGCAAGTGAGAGTGGGTGGATGTGGAGTTGGAAGAGGCTGGATGAACGCAAGTGAATACACTGAGCAGAGTCAGAGTCGGGGGCAGTGAGGGGCAGAGCAAGCTGGGGGAGTGGGTGGGCAGGAGGAGGGAGACACGAGGAGTGAGGGAGGTCGGGGTGCCGCTTGTGTCTCCCCCAGCCCTCACTGGGCCTGCCTGCTTGCTCAACCTGGTGCCGCCCCGCAGCTGGCAGTGAACTGACCTTGCACAGGGGACGTGGCTGGAAGGGAAGAGGAGGGGAGCGAAGTGAGGCCTGGGCCCGAGTGGCTGGGGGATGGTGGAGAGGGTCAGGCTCCTGGGACTCCATTGCAGCCCCTCTTGGAGCCCAGAGCCAATTATTGCAAGGTCGGCATTTAGTTGGTTGTTGCAACGTTGAAAAACGTCCATACTGGTTGGTTAATAGCAGCTGTCCTGAGCACCAACCGCCTCCAGGGTGACTGCATTCACAGGGCCACCCCACCCCCCCAAAGGCACCTGTTGCTAATTCCCTGTCAGCTACCTGGCCTGGCCTCCGGGTGCCCGCTATTTCACACAATAGTCAGTGTTCATCCTGACTGCCTGGGGTCCTTGCCCTGCACCCAGCCCATGACCCCTCCCGAGACCCCTGCTCGGAGCCTAGAGCTGGGAGCAGCAGGACCGGGGTGGGGCTGCTCACGGTCTCCACCTCTCTTTGCTCCCCAGGCGAAAGACAGCGATGATGAGGAGGAGGTGGTCCATGTGGATCGGGATCACTTCATGGATGAGTTCTTTGAACAGGTAACTGAGCCTCCACTCCCCCAGACCCAGAACCTGACCCCCAGCCAACAAACCCCCACCCGTGCTCTCTACACCTACACCCCTTGGCCTTTTACCAGTCCCTCTGGGTTGGCCCATTTCCCTGAATCCTGAGTGAGCCCCGTGGATGCCCCTGTCTGGCCCAAAGGCCCGGCTGGGTGTAGCCAGTTTGCTGCCCTAGGTGGAAGAGATCCGGGGCTGCATTGAGAAGCTGTCGGAGGATGTGGAGCAAGTGAAAAAACAGCATAGCGCCATCCTGGCCGCCCCCAACCCCGATGAGAGTGAGTGCCGCTGCGGGGGGGCTGTGCGCGGGGGGCTGGGGTCCGCCCAGGCTTCTCACTCACCCTGGCCCCTCCTCAGAGACCAAACAGGAGCTGGAGGACCTCACTGCAGACATCAAGAAGACGGCCAACAAGGTTCGGTCCAAATTGAAAGGTGAGGACTGCAGTCCCCTGACTAAGGAGAAAAAGAGTTCTGCCTCCCAGTGAACGAAAAGGCCTTTCTGCCGGGAATGTGTACACACTTCGAGGAGGCAGATTCTTAAGCAGTGACAAAGCATAGAGCCCCAGTTTCCCTCCTTGCTCCAGAGTCTTTGGAGAAAGAGACAGGACAGGGAAATGAGGGAGGGGAGGCTGTCTGTCCAAATTACATATGGGCTCTGCTGGTTCCATAAGTATGAAGGTCCCCCAGAAAAATACAGTCTCCCAAGTGGCTTCAGTTTCGTGAAGGCCTCATTTCTCCAGAACAGGTGCCAGGCATAGTGCTAAGCACCCAGTAGGTGGGTTCAGCAAATGCTTCTCAATTGGTATCCTCGGCTCAGGACAGATTGGACTGTGTGGCTGACATCAGGGGCTGGCAAGCTTTCAGGAGGGACTTGCCAAATGCTTATGTATTCACTCTAATTTAAGGACTTGGGTGCTGGTAATAGCCACCTTCCCCCAAAGCACTATGGGTTGGGAACCTCCTTGTCTGCTGGTGCTAGGGGAATAGCAATGTTACCGTGATGCTAATCTGTATGCTCATGGTAATTCAGCAGCAGAAACCATTTGCCGAGCACCTACTCTGTCCAAGCCACATTGCTGGGCTTTGGGGAAAAGGAATCATGTCAGATGCCTGGGCCTGCGTGTTCTGACCTTGGTCCAAGGGGATGAGGACAGAGCTTGATGCCCTCCTGGACTCAACAGGAGGCCATGTGTTAGCCTCCAGTGCTGATCTGTAAAAAGAAACCTTTTGCACTCAGGAGAGTGTGCTGGAAAGGAAAATGACCTAAACTGGGAGCACATTAGGGACACATCCAGGCAGGGGGAGCCCAGTTTACATCATCAGCTCATTCCTGACACGTACCCTGCCTGCAGCTTCCTCATCGGTACAGTAAGAAAAACAGAAGCAATTTCAAAGCTGGCTTTTTCTTGGCAGGTGTGTGTGTGTGTGTGTGTGTGTGTGTGTAGGAAAATCCTTTCTTTCCCAAATGAAATCTTACAAAGAATGCCAATATATACAGCACATAAAAGTCAGGCTGTTCTACCCTGGCTGGGTTCGAGCATTGAATCAACAGAAGGACCAAAGGGTCTTGGGTTCGATTTCTGGTCAAGGGCATGTCCCTGGATTGCAGGTTCAATCCCTGGCAGGGTCGGGGTCATGTGGGAGGCAACCAATTTATGTGTCTCTTTCACATCAATGTTTGTCTCTCTCCCTCCCTCCCTCCCTTCCATTCTATCTAAAAATCAATAAAAAAAATATCCTCAGGTGAGGATTAACAACAACATAAAAGGCTGTTTTGGCTGAACTGGGGCTGGAAGGCCCAGGGTCTCCCTTCACTCCCGTCAAATTCCTTCTCAGAACCAGGGTTCCATGGAACAAAGTTTAAAAATCCCTGGGCTCAGTGATTTCTTTGGGCCCATTGAACTCTGAACTTAATAGTCTCGCTGTTAGACCATGAGAGGGCTCCATGGTTTGGGGTTCAGGAATAGATCAAGAAACTAGGGAAAGTGGCAGTGGCTTAGAGAAGCTGACCTTCCAGAAAAGGAGAGAAGATTCTCTCCTCCATCTTCCTCCAGCTACGTGGTGGCACGAGCACAGGTTTTGTGTGAGTTGTTTTGCCCATTCGAACCTCAGTTTCCAGGCTGAAACGTGGACGGATATCCCTGAACTCCCAGGACTGTGGCAAGAAGTCAGTGAGACTGTGAAGTACAGGACCCCTGCATCCAGGTCTAGGCCCCAGTCCCAAGTCTGTAGGATGAGTCTGGGCCAGAGATTCTGACATCCCCAGGTGTGTGTTCCTCTGCTTTTCCTGCAGCAGCTGGGCCAAAACTGTCCCTCAGTCATGACCCACATGGCTGGCAGGGAGCATTGGGGTGCCATCTAGCCCCATACTGCCCCTGCTGCCCCAGAACAGAGAAGTGATGTTCTCAGGAATGGCCTGGAGACCCTTCCAGGTCAGAGAGGACCTGGTGGAGATTCATTCCTGCTGCATTTTCTGAGCACAGCAGACCTACCACAAGCTCTTTTTTAGAAAATCTGAACAAGTGTCAGGAGTGCATGATCTGGAAGCAGAAACCCAGTTAATCTGTGCACTTTTCCAGAACATCCTTTCGAAGTGGGAATTCCTGGGACAGGGATCCCCTTGCATAGCAGGGGGAGATCTATTTTCTCTGTTGGAACATCCATCCACTCACCCAGAATTTTCCAAGTAAGTGGCGGCCACTGGAACCGGACCCACCTGGAAGTTCTGCCTTCCTTCCACCAGAAAAATCCCAGGGTGGGTTCCTGCCCCTTTCCAGAGGCTGTAGAGAGTAGAGTTCCCGGCGTACAGTGGACCTTCACAGTGGGCTCACACTCCCACGTGAGATTGGGCCTCGGTTACAGCTATGCGACTTTAAGACCCACGCCTCCGACGAAGTCTTCTGTCTGGTTACTCCCCAAGCCTCAATATCCCTCCTACTTGCCTTCCTGATCCCCTCAAACGTCTGTCCCTTTACTTTCCGGCCTCCGGCCCCTCGCCCCGGATCCCTTACTGCCTGCCCTCGCCACGGGTGTGACATCTCTTCACAGGCCTGGGGCCTGCCTCGGGGTGTCGGCCCTTCGTACGTCCCGGACCCCCGCGCCCCCTGCCCTGGGGCTCCGGCCGGTCACTGCATCCTCTCTCCCGCAGCGATCGAGCAAAGCATTGAGCAGGAGGAGGGGCTGAACCGTTCCTCCGCGGACCTGCGAATCCGCAAGACCCAGGTAGGAGGCGGTGACCGGCGGGCGGGACCTGGCCGGAGCGGGGGAGCAGCAGTGCTGTTTGGGGGTGGGCGGACCAGAGCTCGGTGGGGGCGTGTCCAGGGGCGGGGCCGGGCTTTGGGCGGGGTTATAGCAAAGGGCGCCTCGGGCAGCATCTTAGTGTCCCGGCCCAGGCCGCTGCTGGCGTGGGCGTTGGACTGGGAGACAGGCGGAAGGGGCTGCATTTGTGAGGGTTTGGGATCGGGGCGCGACCACCCCTCCTCTCCACTACACCCTTGCATTAACGGCTCACCCCCTTTGGTCTTTGCTCCCTGCTTCCTGATGTGTGTACCCCCACCCCAGCATTCCACACTCTCCCGGAAGTTCGTGGAAGTAATGACCGAATATAACGCGACCCAGTCCAAGTACCGGGACCGCTGCAAGGACCGGATCCAGCGGCAGCTGGAGATCAGTGCGTGTGTCTCCCCTCCCAATTCCCCAGGCCTGCCCAAGCCTCGTTCCAGGCCCTTCCTTTCGTGGAGGGAGAGCCTGGCCTAAGGCCCGATGGACGGGTGGTCTCCCGGGTCCCCGCCCCATCCCACCACCTCAGGCCCCCAGGCTGGCCCAGCCCTGAGCGTAGTCTTTCCTCTCCGCAGCCGGAAGGACCACAACCAACGAAGAACTGGAAGACATGCTGGAGAGCGGAAAGTTGGCCATATTCACTGATGATGTGAGCTGGGGATCGGCATGGGGTCTGTTTTAGAAAGCAGTTGCCTCTCCACCCCAAACTTGGGTTAGACTCAAGGTCCTCAGTCCACCCTGGAATAAATGGCATTGGAAAGCCTGGATCTGGAACTGGGGAATTCCATGGGAGCAGAGCAGGAAGGCACCCCAATAAAAATGGCAAACAGTAGTGTACCAGGCACTGTTTTAAGCACTTTACATACATTTACCTACTAACCTCATTTAGTCCTCCCTCTGAGGGAGCCACTTTCACGGATGAGGAAATCTTGCCCCAAGAGGTTAAATACCTTGCTGAGGTCATGCAGCTGGAGGCTGAAGGGCTGTTTGAGTCCACAGTCCAAGTTCAGGCCAGACTCTTCCCCTACTAAGATACACAACTCCCTACTGACAGTGACTAATTTGCCTACCTTTTGAAGATTTAAAAAAAAAAAAAACACCCATTTTAATTTTGCACACTGCTCTGCCCTTGTCATTTTATATGTGAATGTATGGGTTTCCCCCAGCTGTAGTTCTTCTTTCTCTTTGTTAAATTTTACCCTGGCCTGCCCAGGTCTGTATTTATGCTTCTGGTGATGGAATGAATAGCTCTGGTTAAGGTTTCTACACCAGGATTAAAGTATGGTCAGTGACTATCTAGCATATTGTTAGTTAGATAATTGGTCTTTGTTAGATTAGCTTTGAGCACATTGATTGTGGGCAGTTAGCCTGGAGCTCTCCAAAACAGCTCTGCCTAGGCTGCTTGTCTGTCGGAATGGAGGGAAGCCTGGTGAGGGTCTAAGGAGGCAGAGTGGATCCTGCCAGTCAACCACCACTACAGTGCGGGTGGTCGGTACCTTGCTGGAGGGCCATGCAAGATGCAAACAGGTCCTATGGCAGTGGTTAACTTCTACAGTCAGGAAAGGCTTCCTGGGAGTGGCATTGAGCTGTGCCTTAAGAAACAGGCGCATTTGCCCTGGCTGGTTTGGCTCAGCGGTTGGAGCATTGGCCTGCGGACCAGAGAGTCCCGGGTTCGGCTCCTGCTAGGGGCACATACCAGAAAGAAAGAAAGAAAGAAAGAAAGAAAGAAAGAAAGAAAGAAAGAAAGAAAGAAAGAAAGATAGAAAGAAAGAAAGCATTTGGACATGGGAGATAGGCAAAGGACACTCTAGACAAAGGGAACAGACTGGACAGAGACATGCAAGAGATTAGGGCAGAAAAGGAGCCTTGGCCTTGACTGCTAAGATAAAGGTGTGTAGCCTGTGGGTAGTGGGGAGCCCTCGTGGGTTTTAGAGCAGAGCAGTGGTTTGATGTGGTCTAAACTGTGAGTGCTCTGGGAAGTGAGTGGCCTGACTCAGGCCAGGCATTTGTGGGGAGAAGGTGTATCTCATTGTGGGCTAGAGTCTCTCGTCCACTGACTCCCGAGGCTGCAGTGCACTTCTTTATTATTTCTGCCCCATCTCATGTCATGGGGGCTTCAGGGGACTTGTGGGCGTCCTGCCTTGTCATCTGGGTCTCCTCTGCTTGCTTCTCTCTCTTTCCTCGTCTCCTGCTGTGTCCTCTTCTCTCTCCCTATCTGCCTTAGACCAGATGGGGGCCTACATACTAGTGGGAGCCCTGGACCTCTGCCCCGCTTCCTGGGGCTTTCCTGGTGTGTGTGGTAGAGTCATCCCTGGGCTAAGGTGCTGGGGTGGGGACAAGTGTTACTTCCTGTAATTTAACAAACTTGTCTTTAGTGCTTCCTGTATGCTGGGTACTATTCTGATCAATGTACACATATTAACTCATTTCATCTTCACAGCAACCATAAGTTGGGCACTATTATTATCCACATTTTCTAGGTGGGGAAACTGAGGCCCAGAGAGGCTAAGTAATTTGCCCATGGCTACAGCTCGTGAATGACAGTCAGATCTGAACCCAGATGCTCTGGCTGCAGACTGAGCTCTTACGGAGTGAAGGGTGTCTCCCTCCCCTTTCGCCCTAGATCAAAATGGACTCGCAGATGACGAAGCAGGCGCTGAATGAGATCGAGACGAGGCACAACGAGATCATCAAACTGGAAACCAGCATCCGTGAGCTGCATGACATGTTTGTGGACATGGCCATGCTCGTGGAAAGCCAGGTACTGCCTCTGCCCTCTGCCACCCCATCCGGGAGCCCCCCAGCTCCCTAGGATTTCCTCTTCCAGCCCAGCCCCACCCCTCCCCATGCACATCCCCTCTGCAGGGTGAGATGATTGACCGCATTGAGTACAACGTGGAACATTCTGTGGACTATGTGGAGCGAGCTGTGTCGGACACGAAGAAGGCCGTGAGATATCAGAGCAAGGCCCGGAGGGTGAGCTGGGCAGGAGGAGGGCCGTAGGGCAGGTGGGCTGGAGCCAGTGGGCGGGGCGGGGCTCAGGTCAGGGCTGAGGCAAGTGATGAAATCCCCTGAAAGGCCTTATCTCTGGCTCTGACCTCTTCCTTTTTCTGTTTTCTCTCCCCTCTCTTTCCTCATACCCACCTCCCCCATCTTTCTGTCTGTTTCTCTTTCTTATTCTGTCTGTCTCTCTCTCCTCCTTCTGTCCCATTGCCCTTTCTGCCTACAGAAGAAAATCATGATCATCATTTGCTGTGTGGTGCTGGGGGTGGTCTTGGCGTCATCCATTGGGGGGACGCTGGGCTTGTAGGCCCTCCACCCCTGTCTCCCCCAGACCCTTCCCCCATCACATCGGGAGCAATACCCCCACTACCCCTTTCACTCCATCCCCTGCTCCAGGCTCACCCCCAAGACAGACCCAGGCAGCCCTCCCCTTTACCACCCCCATAAGACCCTGGAGTCCCTGGACCTCTTCGCGCCATGGACCACCCCCACCGCCACACGTAAATAGCAGCAGGCGTGATTACACATGCACACCAACATGCATGCCGCCGGCACATGCTCGAGACAAGTGGGCACCCCAGTGTGTGTGTACGTTCATAGATGTGTGTAGAAGCACCACATCACCTTCTTGCCCCCACCTCAAGTCTGTGTTCTCCGAGCTTCCCCCCTCCTCTCGGTTGTTGTGTAGACTGTGGCCGGGTATAACACAGCAGCCCACCAAGCCCCGCTGTCTTTTGTGAATAGGTGTATGTGTGTGTGTGTGTCCACAGATAACTTGTGTACATGGAATTTTGTGTTTGAGTGTTTGAATCTAAATCAATAGCACTTCGTTCACTGACACCCCCCACCCCCGTCTGCCACAAATGGGCGGGGTGTGAGTGTGCAGATGCTCATTCCCAGAGGGTCCAGGTAGGCCCAAGTACACAGGCCGTGGCAGGCACTCCAGTGTTGTGTGGAGCAAGTCTTCCTGGCTTAGTCACCCCAGGCATGGGTCCTGGGGGAGTGTGCGTATGGTTCAGAGCCTTGGAGTTGAGCCAGTGTGAGTGGAAGCGTACACGTATAAGTAATCCAGTTTGGCTTGTATATACATGTACATTTCCCCCAGCAGGTGATGTGAGAAACATGGGTGTGTGTCTCAGGATTTGCCCGAAGTGCTGGCAGGTCTCCTCAGACAGAGCCGTCCCTGTTGTGCACTGGATGCCTGTTTGGGTGGGCAGAGAAATCTGTATGTCTGTGCTGTCTAGATATGTGTGTGTGAGCATGTGTGTGGACATGTACAGAGGCTTTCTTCATAGTGTGTGTCTGTCCCCATTTATTATATGCGCACACGTTTCTCTTTAAGGACTCATGCCCCATCCAGGTTTGTCTGTGCAGATGGATTTACCCCTTCCCCCTCTTCCCAGAGCTACTGCCCAGTATCTTGTATGGCCACACACACACTGAGACATCAATATTGTGCAACTGGCACTTCCTGCCCTGTCAGGTGTCAGAGCCCCCGAGTACACACCCCAGACGCTTATCTTCTCCTGTGTCCCTGCCAGAGGATAGGCCTGGACCCATGAGAGCTGGGACACCCGTGTACTCACACATGCCAAGGCTCAGGAGGTCTTGTATAGGAGGCCACACCCAGGCACACACTTGCACACTGGAGCACAGGTGCATGCTAGCACGGGCATGGCGCCCATACAGGCCTGCTCCCATCTGCACAGGAATGCATCCTGGAAGAGCTAGTGCGAGAACGTTGCTGACGAGCCAGCGTCAAGGGCTGCCCAGACAGCGAGAGAATGGGAGCATTCCTGCCTTTCACACACTTACCTCAGACCGGAGAGGCCAGTGTTTGTCCCCATTGCATTTGATGCTCTGGGCTCTGTCTCAGGGACCTTGGGTTTGGGGAACTGTTTGTTGCAGGTGCACTGGAGTGGCCAGTGTGGCAGCAGCCACTCAGGGTGGGCTAAGTCCCAGGATCCATCCCCTGGACGCATTTGCTGAAATGTCTGCAATAGCTGCTCCCCCACTGGGGTGAGGTTGAGGGTGGGACCCAGGCCTGGGTTTCTGACTGAGGAAAGTGTAGCTCCTCCCTGGTGTAGGCAGCATATGCCCAAGTGGGTGTGTGCATTTGGTGGCAGATGGGAGGTACATGAGCAAAGGACAATGTTAGAAGCCCCCCCACCTTCTGTGGCTGAGGACCATTGACCCACATATACAGGACTGAACACACGGGTACAGGGATATGTCCTGCCTTGGGGGTGGGTATACATGTGCACAGGGTAAAGGACTCAGGGTTGTGTGCAGATCATTTCCCAGGGTTCCACTTCATGTGAAGCGTGTGTGTGTGTGTGTGTGTGTGTGTGTGTGAGAGAGAGAGAGAGAATGTAGTTGTGACCTGGAACACAATACCCTCCCCACCCCCACCCCAGCTCAGATAGCCAACCTCTTCCCAACCTGGCCATTTGGGCTCTCTTTGTGTGTGGCCAGTATGTGTAAACCCCAAGGTGGACTGTCCTGAAGAGGGGCGCCTGCCTGTCCATTCCCAGAATGCCCTTCTGCAAGACAGGAAGTGTGCCCCTGTGTGTGACTGCAGCCCTCCTACTCCCTTCTCAGACTTCTTTAGGGATGTCAGAGCAGGTCCCAGCACCCCCCACCCCTCCCTTTTTCCTTCCTGTTGCCCAGCCAGGACACCCTTTCAGCCCAGGTGTTTCCTGAGTCCCCACAGCCTTGGGACCACAAGGCTGGAGTGAAGCTGCTGCCTCCTTGAGTGGTGTTCGGCCCATAGCTGCCCCCTCTGGGCGTGTTAGGCCAGAGGGTCCCCGAGGGTTGCTGTGCCCCAGCCTCCACAAGTCCCGCACGTCGTATGATGTGTCTGCTGGTTGGCTGCTGTGTCTGTGTGTCCTGGAGTGTTGTCTGGGGGGCTAGTGTCTTTTGCGTGGTCTTGGAAGAGTGTGTGCTGTCCACTCTCCCGTACCTACAACCACGTGTGCCCCGTGGGCGGTCCGGGGCCTGGCCAGGGCTCGCTGCTTCCCCCCCCCAACCCTAGCTCTGCCTCATGAAGCACACTGTGCGTGTCCATCCCATGTGCCTGTGGGTTGATGCACGCTCTTGCCACGCCTTGAGCGTGTGTACATGATGTGTTCTATGCATTCACCCTGCCCCCGAGCCCGCCCCGCAAAGGACAAGATGGTGGCCCTCGGCTCCCTTCTACCCGACCTGGCCTTGCCCGCTGTGCAGCCGTGTGCGTTGGCGTGTGTTTCCGTGTCGCTGGCGTGTCACGTGATGTAGCTGTGTTTGCTGACATGAGCCCCTGCCCCTTCTGTTTCTCCATTGGTTTCTAGAGCTCTTTCCCTCTCCTCTCCAGAGGGACAGGACTCTTGGGGCCTGGCTAGGGGCCCAGAGCCAGGCCACCCTCTCCTGTTAGCCCTCAGAGACCCATTTCTCTCTATTGGTGACCAAGTTGCAAATGGATAAAACAGAAAAATTCTGCCCTCTCGCCCCAGCCCTGCATGTCCTGTCCCCAGACCCCCCCCCCCCCCGGGCCGGGTTGGGCCCCCGTGGAATGGGAGAAATAGCAACCAATCCAACAGCGGGCGTGCTGCGTGCTCACTTCCTTCTGTCCCCACATGGGACGGGCGCCGCGGGGAGGGGCAACACATGGGGGTCGGCAGGCTGGGGAGCTAGGCAGGCGGCTGGACACAAGTGTAGATAAGAAGTTTTAATCGGGGCTCGGGCAGGTACAGAATTACTGGGGCCTCCTGGGGTACAGATCTCACAGTATTGCAGGAACTACATTTGGGTACATGAGTGGGAAGAAGTGAAAATACAGGGATTTTCAGCTTTCATTGAGGAGAATTAAAAGATAAATATCTAAAGGTGATAAATGTAAAATAATGGGAATATGACACTCCCTCCCAAATGAGGGACAAAGGAGGCCTGAAGAGCCAGAAAGCCTCTTCCCTCTGAATCCAGGCCTGAGGACCCTGCGTGGTACTCACTTTCAGCTTGAAAAGCCAATGATGGGATGGCAGTTGAGAATATCAAGAAAATGAGCCCCCCGCCAACCAGCCAGCCAACCAGTGGTCAGGCCTGGGTTGAGAATGAAGATGCTCCTGCCATTGACCTTGAGGCATCAGGACACAGACTCAGTGCTCGTGGATTTAACATGAGAGTCTAGGGCAGCCAGTCTGCACCAGACCCTCCAGCTTAGAAGGCAGCCTTCCCTCCCTATCCAGGGTTTGAGTGCTCTGGGCCTAGATGGATGTGCTACACTGGGCTCTAGGCCTCAGCGCCACTGTCACTGGGCTGAACTATCCATGGCCTGCATCCAGCGAATGGTGCGGGTCCGGCTCTCCTCCCATGAGAACAGAGGCTTGTAGCCAAAATGGCGCTGAGCCTTGTTGGTGCTGACGGTGAAGGTGGTATTGGCCATGGCCAGTGTGTATGGGTTGAGCAGGGGTGCATAGAGCAGCAACGGCCGCAGCAGCCACTGCAGCAGGGCATTGAGGGCAGCTAGAAGCATCAGCAGCCAGTAGGGCAACAGCGGGCGAGTGCCCACCAGCCGCAGTCCACAGGGGCCCAGGAACTCCATGTTGAAGTCCTCATAGCTCTTATAGGGTGATTTGTCGTAGCAGAAGTATACCTGGCCCCCCATTACAGCCGCTCGCTGCTCCAGCTCCCGGGCCACCAGCACGTGCATCCAGGCCACGTTGCCTGCCAGTGAGGGAAGTGGGTTGGACATGCCCCTGAGTGTCCTTGTGACCATGTAGAAGCTTCTGTCTCCCAGGCCAGCCCATATACAAGCCACCTTCTCTTTGGGCCCATGTAAATGCTGCCCCTCTCGCCTCAGCCTATGACCTGGTTCTTTATCTGCCTTCCCAACTTACATGGATACTGCTTTCTCTGTGGCCTGTGAAGACAATGCTCACATATCCTAGTCTACCCTGGCCCATGTACAGACTGTTCTTTTCTATCCAGGGCACACAATGCACACCTTCCAGAACCATGCAGGTTCTTAGCCTCCCCACTGCCTAGCCCGGCCTCACCTACATAGACCCGTCCGTGCTCCACAGAGGCTGGGATGGCCCGGAAGAGCCGGCCTCCCAGGCGCAGGCCCTGGTTGTAGATGTCCCTCATGATCTGGTGGCCTTCACCATAGATGCCAGTGGGACGCAGAGCACATGTCACCAAGGGCAGCCCCCCACGGACCTGGCAACAAAAAGGATGCACTGCTAAGACCTAGGAGCCAGTGGCCTGCCCTCGGCCCAGCCGGCTGTGGCTGTGCATCTCCAGTCTCACCTTCCTCCCATTGGCTTCCAGGACCAGCTGCTCAGCTAGGGCCTTGCTGCAAGGATAGGGGTGTCTGTGTACTGCTTCATATGGGGTGTCCTCATTGCCCCTAGTGGGGGAGAAGGAAGACTCTTAATGCCGAGGGGAGATGGGGCTCTTAAAGTATTGGGGGGAACCTCAGCTCACCTATAGAAGGGGTGGCCTTTGACGTTGGGCCCCACAACTTCCATGCTGCTCGTGTAGACCAGGAACCGTGTTCCAGTCTGCACACAAGCCTCAATCACGTTCTTCGTGCCTGGGGAGGTGGGTATGTGTCCAAACGGAAGTTTCCCCCTCTCTGGATCTTTCCCCTTCCCATCCCAAATCTGGTTGAAGGCACATGGCTTTCTTTCCCGTGTTCAAGGAAAACCACACAGATTGGTGAGGGTCAGCCTGCCATTACAGGGGCAGGAGTGCACACAGGACAGATTGACGCAAGAGAATCACAGAGGTCAGGGTCAAAGCCAGGGGAGGGACACAAACAGTCAAGATCAGGCCATGTGCCAGGAACTGTTAAGTGCGTTATTGGAGCAGTTGGGGGGCATCTCACCCTGCACGTTGACTTCATGGATGGTCTCAGGACTGGCCCTCCCAAACACATCCACCAGCCCAGCTGTGTGGATGACCACATGGGCTCCAGTCATAGCTGCTGCCACCTCCTGGGCCTGGGTCACATCCCCCTGGATGGTAGTCACCTGCACTGGCCCTGGAAGGGGGTAGGGGCAGCCAGAGGCAATGTCACAGCTGGGACCACGAGTCAGCTGCTTGGTTCAGCCTACACCCTTGGGAGCCACATGTTTCCAGTGTGACTAATTCATCCATGAGCACTGGAGAACATAAACAGGCATCATCTTTTCCATCACAGTGGAGTCCACACCCTCCCTCCCACTCCCCACCATAATCACCTGTCTTCAGCTCCTCCAGCCAGGGACCCAGGTGCAGGTCAAAGATCCGCAGCTCACGGAGCCGGGGTTCCTGCTGCAGCAGCATTCGAACCACATGCTCCCCAAGGAAGCCACAGCCACCTGTGACCAGGTATACCAGCGTCTGGGCCTGTGCAGAGTCTGCCATGTCCTGCTAGAGAGAGACCTGGCTCACCTGAGTTGCCTGCCAGGTGCGCTACCTGCCCCAGCACCAGCAGCCCACCTGTCATTATTCCATCAAGGGGCCTGTAGCCTGGTGGACTGAAGCAGTGACCCAGTGGCTATAACTGCCTGGTGGGTGCTGCAACCAGGCTACCTGCCGTGACCCTGCCAACTATTTACTGAAATCAGGTGAGGGCTTGCAGGAAGGGCTGTGTTTGAGGTGGAGGGGAAGTTCGGGGATAAAAAACAGGGTGGGAGGCAGAGTTGGGAAGGAAAGAGAGGAAGGTGGGTAGGGCTAGGGCTGGGGGAAGGGTCCTCAGGCATCACCTTTGCCTACCTGCAGCCACAGTCCCAGGGTGCCCAAACTAGCCACTGGAGGAGCTGGTCTTCTTTAGTTTCCGGCCAGTAATACACTGGTGTCCCCTTCCGCTTGTTCCTCCCTCCTACCCATTCCAGGAACAGCCCAACCCAGTCTCCCACTCTTGCCACAGGGCACCCCCTGGTGGCCACTGCAATCCACTGGCATCTGGTTCCAGCAAAGAGCTTGGGGAAGCCAAACCTGCTAGGTGGGCACTGAGGGGATTGGGGGTAGGGATAGAGCAGGAAGGGTGACCTCACTCCTACTGCATGATGTCAACCCTTCCCTTTTGCTGGATTTCCCAGGAAGCCAGAGCCCAGCAGCAGCTATGGTTCTGGGAAGGGAGGCCTGACCTGGCCTCACTGGGGGATTTCTGCATGGCTGTTCCAGCCTATCAGGTAGCCCAGAGCAATGGTGGCTGAGTCTGAGGGTCTGGGCTCTTGCCCAAAGCCTCTCTGCCCACCTAAAATTCCAGGCCACCCATATCCCCCCCTTCATTTGCCCCCACCCTCTGTCCTCAACACGCCCCCCCCCCCCCCATCTCTTTCCCAAAGATACTGACCAAGCACTTTTGTACAATAAAGTTTAATCACAATTATAAAAATGTGGCATTGGGTTTGCGCTATTAACATATGTACAATCCAGCCCAACAGGAAGGGCCCGCTCCCCCCCACCATCCTGGCCTGGCCCAGCCGGAGCTTCCAGACACCAGGGTAGGAGGGTGACCCACAGGGTCTGGCAGGAACAGAAGATGAGGCAGGGTTCCAGGCACGGAGTCCCCAGGACTGGGAGGCGCAGGGCCCCCCTCCCCAGGGGGAGAACATGGCCACTGCCCCCTAGAGACCCCTAAACTGGGGAGGGGTGCACGCAGGGCACAAAAGGGAAGTCCCCATTAACACAAAGCAAGAGGGCTGTGCAGCCCCCAAGAACAGGATCTGTACAGGCTGGCACCCCAGGTTTCCACAGGAAACAGCTGCTGGCAGCTACAAAACATTTACAGCTTCTTCTCCGCAAAGAAAAAAATCGGGATTGGTGGCAGGGGTGACGGGAGGCAGAGGCTGCCTCAAGGGACTGAGGCTCCCTTGCAGGGCTCAGGGGCCCAACTCCCTATCTGGAGATGGGGGGCACGTGGGCCCTCCTGAGCCCACTAAGGCTGGGGGGCTGGGAGCTCAGGGCACCAAGGGGAATAAATAGGGGTGTGGGCACCAGTCCTGCCCACCTCAGTTGAGGGAGCCACGGCAGCTTTCAGTGCCGCACAGACATGGGATCTTGTTGTCCTCCAGCGGGAACTTGTAGTCATAGGTGATCTCCTCGTCCACGCCAATGGGCTGCTTGGAGTAAATCACGATCTTTTTCTGGGATTCGATAGTGATCACCTTGGCATAACAGTTGGGCTGCAGGAGGGGAGGGCAGAGTGAGCTGTGTGGCCACACCCTCGGACCCCACTGCCCTGGCCAGGCCCCCACAGCGCACCGTGCAGCAATGGTTGATGAACCTCGCCAGGTTGCCACACTTGGTAGCATCGATGATAGTGTCATGGTCCACCCGGAACAGGTAGCTGCTGCCAATGCCCTCTTGCACATAGCGCTTCTCCCTCATGTCGGCCACCATCTGGCAGGATGAGGTGCAATGGTCAGGGAACTACTCCTCAGCTTCTAGCCAGACCGGGCTCAATCCCCCAGCCTCTGTGATTGGGGGTCTACACAGTCTCCCAGCTGCCATCCTGGGGCTACAACCTGTCCTGGATCTGTAGCTCTGTCTGGCTCCCACTTACCCAATGCATGGACACTCCTGACTTTGCTTCCAAGAGCCCTCCCTCTTATGGCCTGCCCCTTCCACCTTCACTGCCATTCCAAATCTCCCAAAGAGGACCCAGGGGCCCTGGCCTGTGATGTTCAGTGGTTAGAGCGCCAGCCAGTACACAGAGGGTTGCGGGTTTGATTCTCGGTCAAGGGCATGTACCTGCATTGCATGTTCAATCGCGTGCAGGAAGCAACCAATTGATGTGTCTCTCTCACATTAACATTTCTCTCCCTCCTACTCTCTAAAAATCAATGAAAAAATATCCTCAGGTGAGAATTAACAAAAACACAAAAACAAAAACAAACAAAGAGGACCCTAGGGAAGTGTGCACTGGTTACCGGGCAGAAGCAGACACTGGCTGCTCCTGAAGTGTCTGCCTGGCCCCCAGCGGAGCCCCCAGTTCACTATGGGGCTGTGGCAGTTCCCAAGATGACAGTGACCATTTCAGACTGAACTCTACTCATCTATTCTCCCAGGACCCTCTCCAAAAAAGACACCCACTGACTGCTGCAGGTTGACCACATTTGAACCCACATTCTTGTATGAGAAGGAATAACTTACTTCCCAGAAAATAGAACACAAAACCTCTGTGCTCTTCCCTCGGGTGATCTCTCTTCCCAAGGGCTTCGACGGCAGCTAAGTTGTGGGGACTCCTCCCAAACTTCCATCTCCAGCCCAAATCTACCTCAGTGGAGCATCTGGGTGTCATCCTCTAGATGTCCCCTGGGCACTGCAACTTCACATGTCCCAGTTAGAAACCATCTTTATCACACATGTGCTCCTCCTCCTCACTGCCCATCTCACTGGCAGCCCTACCTATTCCTCCTCCCCGCTAACGGTAGCACCCCGAAAATGGCCTTACCTCCCTCCTTGCCCTTACTCTCCAGAGCCAACGTGATGGCCTGTCTTGCCAGCTACCTTGGACCCACAGGCTCCTGTTACCTTGGCTGCCACTGCCCAGTCCAGGCACTCCACCTTTGGTCCGGGTCTCTGCAACAACCCACTCTACTCCACTGGTCTGTCTCTAGTTCTCTCTTCACACTGCAGCCAGAGGGAACTTACAACTTCCTAAGTCCTCTCCTGTGTAACACTTCACAGCAATGTTCCTCTCTCCCCATCGGTCCAAACTCACTAATGTGGCTCCTAACTTCTGGAGAGTCTGACTTCTACCTGCCTCTCTAGCTGTATGTCGCTGCTGCTGGCCCAAGATTTTTCAACTAGCCACAGTGCCCTCCTTGCCCTCTTGACACTGTCCTGCCTCCAGGCCTCTGCATATGCTGTCCCACAACCAGATGATGAGCCTGGGGAGCTCATCCTCTTTCAGCTCCTGGTGTAAACATCACTGTGCTTGAACCACCTGCCTCCCTGAACTTCCCCTTGTGTAACAACCAAACACCATTCTTGATCATAGTTACTTGTTCAATGTCTGTCTTCCCCACTAAACTGAGGTCCTTAAAGGGAGAGATAATCTTAGTACCCATTACTAGGAAAGAAGGAAGGGAGAGGAGGGAAGGAGAGAGGAAGAGATTTCATTGACTAAGCCTTGGAGCCAGGAGGGTATGTGGGGACTCATCCAGAGGGTTGGAAGGGTCTTATGTCAGCACCCCATGGTGCCATCAGATTGGGAGTTTGGTGTGGGGCCCCCTCACCTGGCGGATGTTCTGACCCACATATTCAATGACCATCTCATCAGCAGCGATGGGTTCCATGGCAAACAGACCCCACTCGTGGATTCGGCTGCGGCCGAATCGGAGCTTCTTCTTCCGGAACTAGAGGGCAGAAGGTAGACTATGCTGCTGGATGCCTCCCTCAACCTGTCTCCTGGCTTTACCTGCAGATCTCCAAGGCAGGAAGGTGCTCTGGCCACTCACCCCCCATCCACACCCCTAGGGGACCTCCACAGTGCTGCCCTTCCACTGAGTCTCTCTCCTCAAGTCCCCACTCCTCACCTTGAGCTGGTTTAGTTTGAGCAGATCACTATCCATGATGGCTGAGGTGCCAATGGCACTCAGCAGCCGCCGCTGCTCAGATCGACGCTCCGAAAGTACACGGTTAGTCCCCTGTGAGAAGCAGGACAGAGAGGAGGTAAGGGACAGGAGAAACAACGGGAAGAGGATGCCAGTGGGCCATATATCAGAGCAGAGCCTCACCTGAGTGTCCGTCCCTTCCAGCTGCCGGGCTGAAACAGGGCACACATCCAGGTACCTGTCCTTTTCCTTCTTGCTGATGGGGTAATAGCCTTCGCTGCGCGCTGAGCCTGTCTGGTGCTCCCTGGGCCCATCCTGGGGCCGCCGCTTGCGTTTTGGAGTGCTCAGGTTGGTGAGTGCAGGGTGTGTTAAGGAAGAGAAAGGGTTCCTCACTGGCCAGATCCCTGGGGCCCCAACTCCCCTATGTCCCTCCAGTCCCAGCCCAAGGAAAGGGTGACTGACCTTTGTTTGAGGTCCTGAGCATACTTGGTGTGAGGAGTACAGAAAGATGGAGAGAAGTAAGTCTTAGGCCACCTTTTCTGCCAGGAAAGCTTTGGGAGGCAGAAAAGAGGCAGGAGGCAGAGAAAAATACCCAGGTAGCCAGAGGAGAAATACCCAGGCTGAACGTGGGTGGCAAAGAGAATTGGACAGGGCGGGAGAGAAACGTACACACTAGGAGTTGTCTGAGGAGAACACTGCCCGGCTCTGTGACCTCAGGGAAGTCCGCCCCACTCCCTGGGCCTGTCTTCCTATCCTGAGAAGGCCAGCCTCTAGGACTCAGGATATTGGTGTGATGGACCCAGTGGGTGTCGTTAAGCCAGTCAGCCCCGCTTGTCTGCTGCAACAGCTGCTCATATGTGAGCCGTAGGTAGCCCATGTCCTCCAAGTCCAGGCCCGAGTTCCAAATATCATAGAGAATGGTCATCTGCTCAAACTCACTGCGGGGTTCAAAGGTGGGAGGCGGTGGGGGTAGGGGTGGCGGCGGTGGCCGCCGGCGCCGGGTGTGGGAACGGAGGCTGCGCCGCCGGATAGCCCCCTCCCCATTACTGCTGCTGCTGCTGCTGCTCTCAGATGACTCGGACTCCTCCTCTTCCTCCTCCTCCTCAGCCTCCTCCTGCTGCTGCTGCTTTGGTTCCTCTGCCTCGGCCACCACCACCTCAGGAGCCTCTAGGACCTCATCCGCTGGGGAGCTGAAGAGGGCTGCAGGGGCAGGAACTGGCTCCAGGGGCCGAGGGGATGGTGTGAAGGGTTGGGGCTTGATGGCCAGGGCATAGTTGT